TTGAGGTGAATTCACCACCTCTATCTGTCCTCAAAGAAATGATAGATGCACCAGTCTCCTTTTCAACACTAGCTTTAAAATTTCTAAACATGGAAAAACCTCTGATTTTTCATGTAAAAAGTAAATCCAAGTTTTACGAGTGAAATCATCTATAAAACTTAGGATATACCTCTTATTGCTGTTTGATTCTGGTTTAATAGGCCCACATATGTCTGCGTGCACAAGTTGTAGCTTGTGTGAAGCTCTCCATAAGATTTTCTTAGGCATGGAGTTTCTGTGCTGCTTGCCGGTTAAACATTCATGCATGGCTTCTTTGGAATCTTGAGTGAAGGCAACCCATTTACCATCTTCTTATAAAAAAGTGTCCTCAATCCCTTGTAGTTTAAGTGACCAAACAGACAATGCCAAAGGTGAGATTCATTTTCTGACACAGTTTGAAAACATGTAGAATCTTTTGGCATCATGGTAGTCAACAAGAAAAACATTCTACTTCCACTCATATCTGTCTGCATAATTAATCCTTTCTTAGGATGATGTACCCTACACTTCCCATCCTGAAACAAAATAGCTAAGCCCTTTTCTTGAAGCTGCCCTATGCTTAATAGATTGTTCTTGAGTTCAGGAATGTAGTAGACATCCGAAATTACCTGAGTAAGTCCACTCATTTGCATACGAATACCGCCTTTTCCCACAACAACCATTCTAGTGTTGTTACCAAGTTTTACAGTTTGCCTGAAGCTTTCATCCATCTCTAAGAACCACTCCTTGTTTCCACTCATAAGATTGTTACAGCTGGAGTCAAGAAACCACATTTCTTCCTTCTTGGCTTGTTTGAGTTCAACATAGGACATTAATAACAACTCCTCTTCTTCTTCCAATTGAGCATAGTTGGACTTTTTCTCCCAATCAGGACACTCATATTGATAGTTTCCTAACTTGTGACATTTGAAACACTCGATAATAGCTTTGTTGAAGGGTTGTCTATCCCTTCCTCTACCTCGACTTCCTCTAAATGCACCTCTACCTCTTCCTCGTCCTGCTCTGGCTTCATGAGAGATCTGTAAAACCTGTTCTTCTTCTCCATGGCTTCTCATCCTTTGCTCATGAACAAGAAGACTACTTTGCAGCTCATCAATAGTCATTGTGTCCAAGTTGTTGGATTCCTCAATCGAGCATACCACATAATCAAATTTTGAGACCATTGACCTCAAAATCTTTTCAGTAATAATTTTGTCACTCATACTTTCACCATGAGCCTTCATTTTGTTCACTATGGCTAGAGTACGAGAAAAATAGGCATTGACTATCTCTCCTTCCTTCATATGAAGAATCTCTAAATCTCTGCGTAAAGCTTGCAATTGTGCCCTCTTGATCCTGGTTGAACCTTGAAATTTTTGCTTCGTTGAGTCCCAGATATTTTTGGATGTGTCCCTGTTGAGGATTGTTTCAAGAACATCACGATCTATTGCTTGGAAGAGATAATTCTTTACTTTTAAGTCCTTCAACTTCTGCTCCTCGATCAATTTGCATTGTGCCTCTGTAGGCTCTGCTCCATCTGACACCACCATTATTCCATTCTCAACTAGACCCTAATACTCTTTGGAGCGGAGAAAATTTTCCATCAACATTGCCCAATGATCATAGTGACCATCAAATTTGGGAATAGCATGCTGCACAAAACTATTGCTACCATTTTCTGCCATTTTCAACTCCTTTTACCTGAAAGAAAGTTGCAATTTCTTTCTTGACATGCACTAGCTGTTTTTCTCTCACGCTCACTGTTTCCCTCACATGCACTCAGGATCAGGCCCCTATAATGGAGCTCTGATACCAATTGTTGAAACAGAATAGTGCCACACAGATTTTCATAGAACAACCTTATTAGAATTTAAAAACAGGTGTTGGCTTTATAGCCTTACAAGATAAGAAAACTGAAGCAATAATAGAACCACGTGTTACATGGCTTGCAACGTGGTGACTAATTAAAAGAATAACATAACTCATATGTCCACATTCCTAAAGGATAAGACTTTATTTAACAAACTGATAAACCCAAATAACAGTAAAAATACTAACTGAATATTAGTCCAACATAGCCGCATAGCAAATAGACACAACTGTCAGAAAAAAATAGTTATATGTGCGGAACAGTGACCAAAATGTCATTGTTCACCAAGTTTTTTATCTAAATGCCACGCGAACAGTGTTATTTCCCAATCTGTCATGGGGGCAAGTTCGCTTCCCGGTGTAGCGAACTCGATTTGCTGACGTGTCACATTTCTAGTGGACACCAAGTTCGCTACCCAATGTAGTGAACTCCATCCTTTTTTTTTAACTTGGTACTTGTTATTCACTAGAAATGTGACACGTCAGCAAACCGAGTTCGCTACATCGGATAGCAAACTTGCCCCCGTGTCAGATTAGAAAATAACATTGTTCGCATGACATTTAGGTAAAAAACTTGATGAACAGTGACATTTTGGTCGGTGTTGCTATATATGCAAACGTACTAGCATATATAGCGAATAGGTGAAGCTTGGAAGGCGTGCTCGAACACAGTAATTATTGTGACTTGATTGGTTATATGCCTACTATTTTTTCTGCCTACCACTCTAAAACAATCTTAACTAATATTTATTTTTCTCTCTCTTCTTGAAATTTTGATTTAACGGTATTGGAGAGTGATACGTAAAGACAGACAGAAAAAATAGTAGGTAGAATAACATATTCCTATTTATAATTGGATAGGCTGATTAATATTTATCTCCAGCTTAATGAAAAGTGTTAAAATATAATAAATATGAGAAAAGTGTTTGTCATTTTAAATGACACAACTTATATCCTTTCACTCTCACAAAGAGGTGGGACCCACACTTTTATTTTTTCTGTCCACTCTCTCTCCTCCTTTATCTATCTCTTTCTCTCACTTAAATGACACAATTTTATATTCTTTAAAATTATACACACTTTTCCCAATAAATATACATAGAATTTTTTCCTGTACTTCACCCTAATCACTGTATTAATACACACATAAAATTTATATTCATTAGTATTTTTAAAAATTATGTAAAATTTACATTTCAAACAGAAGAAAATATCAATTATTTGTTCACATATTTATAGTTATTCGATTTTGTTAAAATCTGGCTACAACTTCATGACAAATGCTGATAATTCAATAGTAGAATTGATTTAAATTATTCTTTATAAAAAAGTTGAATTATCTAAATGTGTTAAATCTTATATTAATATCTCCGAGTGTCCAACATAAAAATAATAATACTGATAAACCAACCATAATAACAGCAATTGTGAGAATTAATATGTCATGACTAGGCTTGGAACATTTATGTTATTGCCAAGTAATTGCAATTGAAGGGCCATGTGGGTTGAGATGCCATTGAATAATAAAGCTCGTATATATACTACAAGCACAGCACAAAAACTAAGATTGGTCCCATTTTTCTTTGGTTGTCGGAGAAAATCATCTCCAGCTACCCTCACAATATTTTTTCTAATTTTTTATTTATTTATTTATTTATTTAATGATAGTGGAACCTATTATGTGAATGCGAGTGTGGCAAGAGATAGGTCTTCTCCTACAGCTGGAGAGCCTATTTCCCCTTTTTCTTTTTAAGAAGTTGACGAAGTCCAAAATTTGCTTTCCAGTGGATGAATATATATAGGGTTTGTATTTTCTTATGTTGCGGAAGAGGAAATTTTTTTCCTACAAACCCATCACATATGCGTTGTCATCTTTTTTATTTATTTTTTCTTGTCTTTCGTGGTGGGTCTCATTTTGATTGAGTGTGTAGAAAAAAAATTCTCTTCCAGTGTATATATATTGAACAATGACGGAGAAATACGCAAAAGCAAGCTGCACCTAATTTGCTACAGGGGTAGCGAATTTGTCGAATTTGTCTAAGGCACACATGGCTATTTTCTTTTCTGATATTTGTGCCTAGTTTGCTATGTGCCATGGCAAATTTATGGGTAGCTGCCACGTGTATTAAATATGTTGAGCATAATGCTATTTTGATAACCTAATTCGCTATTATTAATAACGAATTAGTTAGCCACCAAAAACGTACTATATCAGCAAATGAAGTTCGTTATCTGTTATATCAAACTTGTACACATAATATTTTAGAAAATTTTATTATTTGCATGTCAATTTAGTAAAAAAAAAATTAAAAAGTGGCAAATGAATCACTGCTCCCTTTAGTTGTACTCATGTATGTATTTTTGTATCTAAATAACAAAATATAACAAAATCCAGAATTCAATGGACATTCTTACGTTCATGACTATATTTGCCTATGTACTTGTTCCATCTCTCAAAAGTTTCAATAGCAGCTGATTCTATTCTTTTGTCACAGTCCATCAACGGTGGAAACACCTCAGTGTCACAAGGTGGAACATTTGAACTTGGTTTCTTCACAAAGTCTAACAAAAGCTATTTGGGTATTTGGTACAAGAATATCCCAATTGAGAGAGTTGTTTGGGTTGCAAACTGGGTCAACCCCGTCAATGGCTCAAATGCTACCTTAAGGATGTGTTTGGTATAGGGTATTTGTGAATATTACTGGGAAATGATCATATTACACCCCAAAATGGCTCTGTTGTTTGGTACACAACATCTCCAAAGCAAGTACAGAATCCAGTGGCAATGCCGTCAGACAACGGGAATCTTGTGTTAAGAAACGATGGAGAAATAAACCAAGAAGATTACTTATGGAAAAGCTTTGACTACCCATAAAAATTACACATGGCAGGTGTATTTTTATAAGAAGGTAAGGGTAAAAAGGACAAATTAATTTAATTGGATTGAAAAAAATCACAGAGATAATTGATAAGAAAAAACATAAGAGTGTAAGTAACAAAAGAGTAAACCACATAGGATGTATATGAACTTTTCACTTGTTTTTTCCCCCTCATTTTGATTTTGATACTCAATTCTTTTTCTTTTTTATATATATACAAATTTTGATACTCGTTTAATTACCCGATGGTTGGTATTCACAGAAATGGTCCTCATGATTTGCACTTGATACGCAAAGAAAAAGTCGCTCATAAGCAGCCACCATCTTAGTGGCAGTGAACAATTGCAAACCTCTTTGCCGAGCAACTTGACCTTTCTTGTCTAGAACGCCCTTGCCACCAATCCATAATTCATATAAGGCCTCCTTTAGAGCAGTCACTGTTGGTGAAAATGTATAACCCATTTCAGAGCCAGCAATTACAGATCCTACAATGCTTGCAAGCCTAGTAGCCATTACTGGCTTGCCACTCAGCATAGCTTCTAGCAGAGTGTGATCCAAACCTTGTGCTCGTAAAGTGGGGTTCACAAAAATATCAATAGCATTATAAAAAGAGGCAAGTTCAGCTTGTTCCAGGGGCCCCAAAACCAATATATTTGTCCCAAGATCTCTATATCTTGCAGCCCAAGGACCATCTCCAGCTACCAGAACCATGCTACTTTCTTGGAATGTGCTATTTTCTGCAATTATCTGCTTCAAAGCTTCAAACATCAATGGATGTCCCTTGTCCTTAACCAACCTCCCTGCTAGTCCTATCACTAATGATTTAGAATCCGGAATGTTGTGCCTCTTCCTAAATCCCTTCCCCTTAGAAATATCTGGCTTGAAAACCTGTTGATCCACACCATTGAGAATAATATGAACCCTTTCTTCTGGAATCATGTAGACCCTCTTTAGGATTTCTCCAGCATGATCACTAGTGGCAACATGATGGGCATAATTTGGAAAGAACTTAATCTCTTCAACAACCTTCCTAGCTCTTTCAGTCAATGCATTATTCTGCTGTTCCTGGGGGCTTCTTAAAAGTTCTTGAATGATGTCAGAGTGAATGGTCTCGTATGCAATCCCATGCCAAGTGACAGCTAAATTAGTAACATATCGAGATCGAGTGTACCTAAGACCAACACTTTCAGTGTGAACAATGTCAAATGGTTTATTAGTTGAGTTTTGTGCTTGAAATTGCTCCCAAACTATAGCTTGGTCAAGGTAACCACCAGGTGTTGGTTTGGAGAAGTGAAAATGTAAGTTGTTTATTGAATAGTTAGAGAAAGAGGAGTTTGTGGAAGTGGTGAATATGTGAAGATCATGGCCTCTTTTGGCAAGGGCAAGGTGGAGTGTCAGAGCATGGCGTTCAAGCCCCCCTGCGTGAGATCTCTGTGGCCATTTCTTGACAAAAAGTGCAATCTTAAGGAATTTTGAAGGTGGGTCTGAGGAAAAGATAAGATTGTTCCATGCAAAAGGATGTGCAAGGAGGTTGATTGGTTGGTTTTGCTTTTGTACTATTACTTGGTATGGTGAATAGCACTGGCTGCAACAATGACTCCAAGAGAGAAATAAGATGACAGAGCATATGGGAAGGATGATAACGATGTAGCAGATATATTGAAAACTGAATATAGAACTTCGATCCCTTGCCATGGATATTTGATTTGGGGGAAGGAATATGAGATGAGAAAGAGCTTTATGGTAACTTTTAAGAGTCAAGATTTGCATAATTAGTTTTAAACACGTAGATGGGGACAAGAAAGTAGAAATGAAGATACCTATCACATGGTTTCTAGGCCTCAGCACAATTAGATATTAGACTATGATAAGATTGCTTGGACGGCCATGTTGCTTCGCCAAAAGTAATTGCAGCAGAACCAATTTTCAAACTTATCATTACTGTTGAAAAGTTCCATGATCTTAATATTCATAAAATATCATCTTATATACAATAAACATTAATGAATACAGTCATATAGCACTTGAATCTAGAATTATTATATATATGCCCCACCGGGGTGACTGACGGGAAGATTCATCTCAAAACTAAGCGAATGTGGAGCTTTTTCACCGATTTAATTCTAAAAGGAAAATATTTTTCCTCGTTGATTTGAAAGCCAAATAATTTGTAAAAATAATGCAGAAAAATTGCGTATAAGAGATGTGCGTTCAATATGCGCAAGCGCATGTCATGATATGTATGTAAAAGCTGGCACGTGCAAAATTATATTATCTCATGTGCAGTGGCAGAGCCACAATAGGTGTGTGGACCTTTGGCTCTAGCTAAAATTTAAAAATTAATCATATTTTTAACTTGACTAAATAACCTTCCATATTTTAATATTTGATACTAGTTAAACTTTCTTTAATTCTAGTTGATTTGAGAGGCCATGCGCATTTTACAAAGTGCAACATATAATAGGCATATATTGATTTTTGTACAAAACACGTATTGATGATATGTAATATGTAATTTAAATATGCATATACCCTATATTCGTCTCAGCGTATTATGTGGGTAAATCATTTGATTCTTGAATGAATTAATGAAAGAAAATATTTTACTTTTTTAACGTGAGAAAAGTTATATTTATAAAAAAAAATTATAAACTATACTATATATTTGGGATCAGTAGTGAACCCAGAAAATTTTATTTATGTGTGCATATTTAATCCGAATATTTAGTGGAAGGGATTTGGAGGCAGTGACTAAGAATTTTTTTTTAAACAAAGTTTTAAATGCATTAAAAAATAAAAGAATATAAACAAAAAGAAATTTATATCTCTCATGTTACCTGAACCAAATTTTTTGTCATGTTAAGAAAATGACAAGATGAATTCATTGAATAATGTATCATCTCACTTTTTTTAATTCATATAACTTGACAAAAAATTTCGTTCATATAATATGAGGATATAATCCTCAAACAACAAAAGAAAAGAAAACTTGAACTTAATATAAAAAAATAGTAATCAACTTAATGATATAAAACTACTAAAACATAACCAGTAAACAAGATGTGTTTCTTTCTTAGTATCTGTGCTTGTATTCCTGGCAATACAGTCACTAAAATTGTTCCATAAGTGACACTCCTAATTAATTAAAAATATATCTCTTTTTTATTAAAAAAATATATGACCAAATTTATGTGTACACTTGCCCATAGGGGTGAAAGTGGGTTGGGCTGGGCCAAGCTTTGCCCCGAAAAGCCCAAGCCTACGTCAAAAAATTTTAATTTGGCCTGGCCCAAGCCTATTACGAGTCTAACTGTTAGCCCGACTTGACCCGTTTATAAAAAAAATAAATAGCCTGGCCCAGCCCATTAGCCTGTTAATTTTTAACTTCCAAACAAAACCATGAATCAACTTTACAAAATACTCAAATTATGTTGATAAACTAAAAATCATAATTTCAACGTCCAAACAGAATCATGAATCACAACAAAACTCATACAATCTACATTTAAGTCACTTTCAAAAGCAAAATGCTCAAACTAAATAACATATATTTAATCATATCCAAACAAACAAATCCATACTATGTAAATAAAAATAATTACATGAATTCAACAAACACATCATGATGCTTGTAGTAAGTTTAACCTCTCCTAAAAACCTTTCAATATATTCATATACATAATTTAACATGATGAGATGTTAGTTCCTCCTATATAAGAAATAAAGTTAGATTTCTATTAAAATATAATCGAATATAATTAAGTTATAAATAATTACAATTGATTAAATTTATATCTTTTGTTTTTTCTTCAAGGCATTCTTACTTTTTTATTTCATTTAAAATAAATAGTACAATATAGGCCGGCCTGTAGGCTTATAGGCCAGGCCTTCTGAAAGTGGGCCTACGGCCTCGTTATTAAACAAGCTTTTTCAAGGCTCAAGCTCGGCCTATTTTACGAAATATACTAAGTCAGATCTGACCTGACATAGGCCGAGTCGTAGGCCCCTGTGGGCCGGCCCGACCCAGTTTTACCCCTACTTGCCCATATTTACAATCAAATAGGTCCGTCGCTATTTGGGATAATACATTGTGCGCTAAAATATATTATCTTTAATACATAATATAATTTTTATAAAAATTTATAAATATAACTTTATCTTTTTAACATTATTATGATAAGAAAACCTGAATATGGCCATGACTTGCCGTTTGATAGGGTAAAAGTATAGTGAATATTAGGTTCACTCAAAAGTAAAAAAGTATATGAAATTTAAATGGATTTGTTCAAATTATTTGTCACTGATTACATTTAATTTACAAAACAAAACTACTAAAACATTTATGACTGATTTTATAATTGATTTGCAAAAAAAAAAAAAAAAACTATAAAAAAAGACCTATCACCTATTTTCTGACCTACATAAGCGGTTCATACAACGTGCCTGCTAATACAGTCCGTGAGAGAGACATCATCAGACATAAATATAGATACACTCGACTGTGGTCAGATGTGCTGAACACTGAGGAAAAGTGTCTAAAATATTACTTTTTTATAAAAAAAATTATTCAAATGTAACGTGAATAGTATTTTTTATTGGATTATCTACTTTGTTATGACTGGTACTGAATTACGTTTGTCAATAATTTTATGACACGTGACATATTTTTGCAGGAAAAAATTGATGTGTCATAATTCGCTACGAATTATAGTGAATTTAGTATGTAATATAGTTACGTGTCACAAAATTATTGGCCACGAAATTCGCTACCAATGATAACGAATTATGATACATGACAGTCTGATAAAAAACATATTTAGATAAATTTTTTGACAAAACATGACACTTTAATCAATGTTCCAAACAATGACATGAGAAGTAGCACCCGCTGGGTGTGACTCATGCTCCTGAACATATTCTAATTTTGATCTTTCAAATTTGTCCCATCTTAGACTCTAAACTCACCGACCGATACCCCACTAACACCTATTGTCCTTTACTGTATTATGTTTGTTTTTACTTTACGGGTAGTCATGATAAAATTTTGACAACAATCCTATGTAATGTTATGCATTTTCTATGTAGAATTGAGATTTTCTTAGTCTGAGTTTAAATGCCACAAATTTAAACAATTAACATCCAAAAAGAGATCATTAACTAATTTCAAATCAATATATTTTTATTAATAATATTTTATCGTACTAGTTAGGTTAAATACATGTTTGCAAACAATTAAGTTTAGAAAATAATTATTTTTAAATAACAACTCTCTTAAGAAATAAATTAATCTGAAAAAAAATTAATCTAAGCACTTAAAGCGCGCATATGTTTAGAGAGTTAGTCAATAATTAACTAACTTTTTGACTAAGGAACAGACGAGTACCAAACTTAGTAGCTAAGAAATAACAATTACAAGAAAATTATTAGGGCTAATTAATAGTTCACCTGTGTCTCATAATTACACTGTCTCATTATTTAAATTGGAAGAGCAGTACTACACACTCGCTCCATTGAACCACGACAAAAGTCAAACTTATCACGGATTTGGAGGAGTACAGCTGTCAAAAAGGGGCTCAAGTCTTAGGGTCAGCCCATTTAGCTCAATGTTAAGTTCTATAAAATTTTAGGCTTCTATGTAATGAGGTCATTTTAACCCCATCCTCTTAAAGTCCTCTCATTATAGGGTTAGGTTGGGGTTGGCCCGCGGGCTACAATATTCAACTCAATTTACATAAATATGAATCATTTTTAAATGTGATATATCTATTCTTAGCATTAAAATATGAAAATTACATAAATATGAATCATTTTTAAAAGTGACATTATTAGAAAAGTGTCAAATACTGACAGAATTTATCGATGAAAAATATTTCGTCGAAAATAGTAACGAAATTTTTGACAAAAATCACATTACGTCAAAAAAAGAGACGAAACAAGTGACATAAATTTTTTTGGAAAAAAATTCAGTTAAAATTCTTGATAGAATATAAATTTCGTTGAAACTTTCAACAAAAATATTTTCATCATATTTTTCAAGGAAAAATAATCCTATCAAAAAATTTCAATGGAAAACAATTCTGTAAAAAATATTGTCGAAAAACATTTTTGCCAAAATTTTGTATGGAAAATATTTCCATCAAAATTTTAAACGAAACACATTTCAAGTGAAAATTTTTGACGCAAAATATTTCCGTAAAAATTTGTGACAAAAAATATTTTTATAAAAATAGTTGACATAAAAAAAATTTTGTCAAAATTCTTTACGAAATCTAAATTTCGTCAAAATATTTGACAAAAAAACATATTTGTCAAAAATTTTGACGAAAAATATTTTCCTTTAAATTTTTAATGAAACACATTTTCTTTGAAATTTTTTTGTACAAAGTTTTGACGAAAAAAAATTTGACGGAAAAAAAAATTCGTCAAAATTCTTTATAGAATCTAAATTTCGTTAAAAGTTTTCGATGAAAATATCTTCGTCCATATTTTTTGACGAAAAAAATTTCGTCGAAATTTTCTACGAAACACATTTGCATCGAAAAATATTTTCGACAAATTTTTTGATAAAAATATTTCTATCAAAATTTTCAACGAAACACATTTCCGTCAAAATCAACGGAAATTATTTCTGTAAAAAATTTGACGAAAAAATTATTTTGTCAAAATTCTTTACGGAATCTAAATTTTGTCAAAAG